TTTTTCATTTGTAGTCTTTTATTAGAATTTACAGGGCACATAGTTATGCTTCTAATTGCAGGATGAAATTGTGTTTTTCTTTTTCATATCAATATATATGTGTTTAATGGAAACTGGGTTTTTTTTTTCTTTAACCTTGATTTCAAACTTTTTCATTTTGGGTACTTTGAAGTTTCTTTAACCTTGATTTCGAACTTCTCGTTATTGGGTACTTTGGAGCTTTTCCTTGTGATTATTGATGTCTCTTATGGTTTAATGAGAATGAATGGTTGGCAGATGGCAATTATGCAGCTGATATGGACTTCTTTCTGCCATTTATTTAATGAATTCGTTTAGAAGTAGTATAAATTATAATGCTGAGGGTGTTGTTCATTGGTTTCTTTTCTTGGTTCGATTTCTTATCAGTTCTTAAACGGGGAGCTTTCAAGTTAGATGGGGTTTAGCTTATTTTATGGCTAAGATGGTGTTTTTTATTATAAACAAATACATTGACAAAGGAAAGATTTTAAATATGTCCACCATGTTCGAAAATTATCATGATCTATCAGCTGAGCTTCATCTTAGTCCATGTTTTTCTGTTTCCTGATTATGTCACTGATAGTAATAGGATGCCACAACTTGTATCTGCCATTTCAAAAACAATTATCGTCCTTTTCTAGATAACTAGATGTGGCATATGCAGCTGGTAAAGAATGTGAAGTAGACATTTTTTTTTTTCAATTGTTTTTTTTTTTTTTAATTGCCTCTTCCTAAAGGATATGCTTTTGAGATTCTCCGTATGATAACCGGTTTGATTGCTGGCATGCAGATCCTCTAACAACCCTCCTTTGCCTGTTTTTCAGTCATTCCACTGCAGGCATGGAAAAGCTTATCTCTTTGATAAAGTGTAAGTCTCTGATTTTGATGATCTCCAAGTATTTAACTTTTCCATGTGGATAGAATTGGTATATGCACAAGCAGTTGTTCTTGGGTGTTATTGCTGCTGTTCTACTACTTGAAATAAAAATGTTTCTTTCATCCTATTTTTGGCTTTCATTTTGATAGGATTGGATCGGATTATGGGTCATTGGTTTACCTTCAACTGGTTCAATTAGAGGATAAGAGAGCTGCATCCATTTCTTAGAATATTGAACTTTTCTCCTTTGGGGTACAATTATAAGTGTGCAGGACAAGGCCAGGGTTTTACTTTGCATCTGGTTAAATTAGTGCTCCGTGCAGAGTAGTTCACATTTTATTTCTTATTCTTTGTTTTTGTTTTATATCCTGAGAAGTACAGCGACATGAGCCTTTTTCTTTTTACCAAAAAAAAGAAAAAAGAAGACATGAGCTTGTTTCCTATTCCTTTCAGCCTGCCCCCTCCAAAAATATAGTTAAAATTGCCGAATGCAAATCAATATACATTCTTCTTCCAAGTAACCTCATTCACTTGCTTTTTGGGCAGGCTTATGTGATTATGCTTGTGTGATGTGTCTTGCATAAATGAATTGTCTAGTTAGCCTTTTGCTTTTGAAATGTATGACAGGGTGAACATCACAGCAGGAGAGAAAGAGGATCGCCTGATGATGACAGGAATGCACACTGTTGTTGACATATTCTGCATTGGGTGTGGCTCTATTGTGGGTTGGAAATATGTAGGTTTTTCCTAGAAATATGTGTGTCTACTTCTCATTTTCTTTAAAACAGAACTTTGGTTGGATGGAAACTCTCCTTAAGTTTCCTATTTTCTAATCATTTGAGCCATTACAGGAGGCTGCATATGAGAAGTGTCAGAAGTACAAAGAAGGAAAGTTCATTCTTGAAAGGTGCCATACCACTGTTTCTAGTCCTTTTATATTTGATATTTCTATCAATGTTCTCAGATACAGATTCTCGTTTTAGAGCAGGTTTAAGGTGTTGGGTCCTGATGGAAGCAAATACTTGATCGCTCAGGAAGCTCAGCCTGTTGGGAGTGATGCTGATGATGCTTGATTGCCATATTCATTTTGGCAATTGATTCACTATTTGAATTGTATATTCGGGCATTTTGTGTTCCTGTTAAGCCCTGTTATCATCTTAGTGTCTTAATTCAGGTTATCAACTTTTTCCCTTGTGGCCTGAAGCAGAAAAGAGAAGAATGGAAAGACTTGAACAGGACATAAACCGCAATGAAACTCTTTGAGGGGTTCTTATCAATCGTTTCAATGATGTTGGGCATCCAAGCCCATAGCAAGTTAGTCCATTTATTAAATGAGTCCAGTAAGTAGAAAATTAAAAACAAACCCATACAAATTGATCCTAGACAACATCATCACAACAGTTGCTAAAATGCATGCAGAAAATTCAAAGTGCAGGGTTCGAATCCTCCCTCTTTGGTAACGACAAAGGATGCAATGTTATTATGATAATGTTTGGTTGCTTCACGATGTAAGATTGTTAGGTGAAACTTCACCTGGAGCAGCAACCTAGCTGGACTCTGAGAACGCGTATTGATTTTAGGATCAAGTTTGTTTCTCCATGTTCATGATGACGACCCTAAACCCAACCCGCTGAGGACTGAATCTCCTGTGCTTCCATGAACGACCTTTGCAGACAAACTTCTATTACAATTCTCTATCACCAACCACTGGATGTAAAAGTCCAACTAAATATCAATCAAATTATCGAAGGGTGCATGACCCATGTGCAGGCTCCCCAGCAGCAAATCTGCCTTTACCTAATGCAGAACGAAAGAGACGACGGCTAGGGCCCCTAAATGATACGGAGAAGATAATGGAATGGATGGCACATGGAAAACATTCAAATAATGATCATGATAAGCATTTTGCTGAAGAAATGGATGGCTCCAAAAATCTATGGAAATATCAATGTCATTACTACTCTTTATTGCTAGATGTAATGTGTGGGAACATCATAGGCTCAGTCTATTGTCGACATTATTGTTCATGTATGTTAGTAGCTGGAGTGAATAATATTTTGTGTTGAGAGTCGAGGCACAACTAAATTCTTAATGTCAACCCACGCAAAATCCTCTGCTTTAAACCATTTTGTACATCAAAATGATGCACTTTCTTTATTAAATTTTCTGAAACTACTTGATCAACATTGCATATCTAGCATGTACTTACAAAGTAAAAATATATATATATATATATATATATCATATTCCTTTTATATAGGATTTGGTTTTTTTTTTTAAATAAAATTATATGATAAGAAATAATTTTTTCATCACTTCTTATATATTATTTATATGTCATGCAATTCAAATTATTTTTTTTATTAAAAGTAAATTATTATTAATTTAATTTAAGTTATTAATTACCAATGATCTAAATAATTTACTAGTTACCTTTTTTCATTGAAAGTAAAAGTTTCTAAATTTGAATCGCATGACATGTAAGTGGGGTGGAATAAGGGATGAAAGATGATTATTTCAAATTGTGCAACCAAAATAAAAAAAAAGTTATTAATGCATTTCTTAATATGTTTTATAAGAAGAATAGTATTTTATTTTATAATTTAATTTATATTAAATTATAAAATATAAATCATAAAAAAATAATTTTTAATAGGTTAAACCCCCAT